TCAAGAAAGATACTGAATTTCCCTCTGCCATGTCACTGGAAACCTGCACTTTTTATGTAGTCTTTTTTAATATTCTAATTTTTTTTTACAATAAACATGCTTACCTTTTAATTAGGGGAAAATGCAAAGATTAAATAATTTTAAAAGAAAAATACCTCATAATCAGGAATATCTGGACAGTTTATTAGATTTGTGTTCTTAGAACACAGAGGTGCTCATTTGGGTAGTGCTTCCTACTGTCCACTGTGATGGGTTATCTTTAAAATTGGAGTTGATTAGAGTCTCTGGCATCACTTTTGGAAAATGCAACCTCCCTCTACTCCCTATAAAACTAAGTTCTGCCAGCTTCCTTGATAGAGGACAGGCAAGTGTACCATTTCCCTAATATTACATTAAGTCCTGGTTCTTCTTACTACATCTGCCTTTTTCATTGTAGCCCCAGTTTGCGTATACTCATAAAAGCTATGCTTTTTGCAAACCAGATTGGCTGTATTTTTTCTAGCACAACAGATGCCCACATATTTTCAAGTCATCTCACCTCCCAAAGGTAATGTGGTCAAACCATGCTTAGCCTACCTGGATAACCTGCAGATACCAAAACTCTGGTATTGGTAGGGAGTGCAGAGCACCAAGATGAGAAAAGCTTGCTTTGGTAAGGCACGTGGACACTCCTATTCTAACCTGTGTAATAGGCAGGACCCCCCTGCTCCTATACCTCCATGTTTCCCATCCTTCCACTACACTATATCCATAGATCTTACAAATGTGGAAGATCTAAATTCAAGAAGGCAGTATATTTTTTCTTTCAAAAAAGATGATTCCAAAGTTGTTTAAATTAAAATGTGTAGGAAATATCTAGAAAGCTCCAAGACCAAGCAAAAGCATGAGATTTAAGAATGACATTTAACTTTTTTTTTAAGATTTTATTTATTTATTCATAAGAGACAGAGAGAGAGAGAGAGAGAGAGAGGCAGAGACACAGGCAGAGGGAGAAGCAGGCTCCATGAAAGGAGCCTGATGTTGGACTTGATCCTAGGACTCCAGGATCATGCCCTGGGCTGAAGGCAGTGCTAAACCGCTGAGCCACCTGGACTGCCCGACAGTTAACCCTTAACTAATAATTACTTTGCTCAAATCTTTCTAATTTTTAATCATTTACAATTCTTGTTAAGGTCAATAGTATTCCCATTTTATAGGTAGGGAATCTAAAGTACTGAATTACCACATAGGTAGTTGTGAGAAGTAGGATTGAAATGTTGATTAGCAGCTAAAGTATTGCTTCCCTTGATACATAATTCCCATTTTTCTTCATGGTCATGTTTTGAAAAATGAAGTTTAATAACTCAAATTTTTTACTTAAAATATTAAATTAGGGATCCCTGGGTGGCGCAGCGGTTTGGCGCCTGCCTTTGGCCCAGGGCGAGATCCTGGAGACCCGGGATCGAATCCCACGTCGGGCTCCCGGTGCATGGAGCCCGCTTCTCCCTCTGCCTGTGTCTCTGCCTCTCTCTCTGTGTGTGTGTGACTATCATAAATAAATAAAAATTAAAAAAAAATATTAAATTACTTATTAAAGGAGGTGTTACCAGTATTGAGGAGTAAAGTTCCAAATAGCACTTTACCTTCATCTCTTTCATGGTTAGTCCTTTAAGCTATTTCTTTGGTCTTATGTGAGTGATATAGCCAGAGGAATGTCGGATTAATTCTAATAGTGATTACGACAAAATAACTTTCAGTATTCTAGGTACATAAATAAGCTTATTTTTTAATGAAGTTATACTAAAAATTCAGTAGAAAGGGTATAAAAATGATACTGCTTAAAATACTAATAATTTAGTATATTTGTAAGGGTGTTTTGGTTTGTTTTTTGTTGTGTATGTTTTTTTTTTTTGTTGTTTTTACAATTTTTCAAATTGCTTTCTATAACATCATTGTATTTAACTACCGTAGTATTTATGAGGTAGATAGGACCAAGGTTGTTGGCCAGGTCTTACAGAATTAGAAACCAGGGCTCGCCAGAGGTGGTTGATGGTGAAGTGAGGTCTGGAACCCAGCTTTCTGGTCACCTATTCTAGCGTTAATTCCACTGTGTCTAGGCAACAGTTCGTGATTTGACAAACTGCACCTCTAGCCTCAGAAGTGGTTGCTCTAAAGACCTAGATTAGTAGCCACTGATTCCCAAGGGTATTTTAGGTATAGTTAAGTTAAAAGTTAGACACCTGGTAATTAGATTTGTGCTTGATTCATTTGAGACCAGGTACTCACTGATACAGATAAGATGTTCAGTCTGTAAAATGTAGATAACCTCTTCTTCCTTAGATTGCCCAACATTGCTGATAGGCCAAGTGGCAATTCATAGCAATGAGAAATTAGCATACATGTGAGACGCTGTGGGCAGGCGCCATGACCCAAAGTCATCAAGTAGTTGGCAGTGGTGATGCTTGCTGCCCCCTGCTTTGTTCATATTGTAGAGGCCAAGATATTTTATTTAACATCTTGTCTAGTTCTGAGCTGTTCATTAGAAAACTTACAATGATTTCTCCTGTAGCCCTTATGCTTGCAGAATGCATTTACCAGCATGATTGCCAGTGTGCAGCCAGGTTGTGCCCCAAGAAATAAATGTAGGCCGAGGAAGTTCACAGGACAGCATTAGCATGAGGAGCTGTGCTTCTCTAATTTGCAAAACTTCATTCCTCAAATTTTGTTTTTGCTGTTTATCGCCTAACTTCAAATTTCTTCTTGAAATTTTCAAATTTATGGAGAAGTTAGTGGTGGTGGTAGTCAGATGAACGCATGCAAATCATGCAGATTAACTCAAGTTAATGATTATTAAGATTTTGCCACATGTCTTTCATTCTGTGGTGGTGGTGTGGGGGGTGAGGGGGAGAGTGTGTGCTAAAATATTTAAAAGTAAATTATAAATATTGATTGCACTTTATCTCACAGTAGTTTAGTCAAAGTGTCTTAAGAACAAATGCATTCTTTTATGTAACTAACACCGTTGTCATATCTAAGAAATTAAATAATTCTATAATATCTAATCTACAATCCTTATCACATTTCCGATTGTCCCCCAGATTAATTTTATAGGGTCCAGGATCTAATCGAGGTTTACATTTGCATTTAGTTCTTATAACCCTTTAGTCTCTTTCAATCTCTTAGTCATTTAATTTCTCTTAGTCTGTAACATTCATCTCTGTGTTAAAAGGGGAAAAAAATTTTTTAAGAGCAGTCTTTTTTGAGGAGTCCAGGCTTGCTGTCCTATAGAGTGCCCCATGTTTTGGGTTTGTCTGCTTTTTTTTTCCCATCATACTTAGATCCAGATAAAACTTTCTTTGGCAAGAATATCACATAGATAATGTTATATAATATTTATTATGTCAGGAGATAAGTAAAGTTGAGTGGTTCCCTTAATCAGAGGTGCTAAATTTGATCACTAGCAGATCCCTTGGATAAGTCCAAATTTATTGTTGTAAGTTTCTTTGACTAACCACACAGCATTGTTTCCATTTTTTAAAGCATGTATTATTAATAAGATCAATAAATATTCTGATTTAGAAATAATGGTAAGTAAATACTGCTAGTAAGCAGTGTTTACCTTGTGTGCCTTTTATTCTTTGAATAAATACCCCAAAGATCCCTTTTACTAAACATTTCCTCCTGCCCTCTTATGACTATGCAGGAAATTTTTTCAAATAAGCTTCTGGTGAGGACCCCAGATCTAGAGGGAGATAAGAATAAACATTTGTGGAGGGAGAATAACAGTAGTATGAACACTTACTGAGCCATTACCATGTACCATAGGCTAAACACTGGGTGTGCATTGTCTGCACAGTAACCCTATCAGGTAAGCAGCACTGTTTCCCCATTTTACAGATTAGAAAGCTTAGCCACAGAAAGATTGAGGATCTCGCCCAAGGACTCACAGCAAGTAAGTGGTGGAGCTAGGGTTCAATTCCAGGGCTGACTAATCCTAGAACGCATTTCGTAGTTATTATGTATGCTGTGCTACCATATTGTGTGCCAGGTATTGTACCGGACATATGTACCATGTCATACATTCGCTTGTGTAATTTTCCCATCAACCTGTAAGAAACCATCTCAAATAGAAGTTACTTACCCAAGGGCATATGATATCCGAACCGTTCATCCTATTTTGTGGTTCTCTCCCATGTTTCAGCCAAGATCTTTAACAGCAGAGTGGTTTGTCCAGCGGGGTCCCTTTTCCCACTTCCCAGCACCCACATAAGCAGGAATCATGTGGAAATGAAACCAGGTGACAGAAGCAGCTGCACAAGCAAGAGAAGCCTGATCGGGTCCACATTAACCAGATGACAGGAGTGAGAGCCTTCAGTTACAATTCGGGGACCATCAGTGAGAAATGGGATGACAGTGAACCTGAAATAAAGGTTGTTGAAATAAGACTGGTCTTCCAAGGAAAAGCGTTTCCTTACCGTCTGTCCTCTCACGAGACAGAGAGGATCCGGCAGTCTTGTTATTTGAGTAACTTCAAACCAGTGGTCAAAGCCATGAAGAAATTTCTGAAGGAAAGTGTGATTACTTATAGTTTCTGATGCCCACTATTGATTTCCATTTTAGAATTTTTTTCAGCATCATCACTGAGTCTATTTATAATTCTAGCATAATAAACTGAGAGAGGTAGAATTAGAGTAACGTGACCTATTTCATAGTCTTTTTGTGAAGATTAAATTTACACACAGTGTAGCAGAGTGCTGACACAGAGTAGGCTTTCAATATGGAAGTTATTATAGGATCACATTGTTGCATTCTGCATTCTGTGTCCTCTCATGATATGGCCTGGGAACCTTACCTAAATGAGGACATCTGGTCCCTCAGCTCAGGAAAACAAGTATTCCAGACACTGCCTGGTTAGTATCTAAGTTATAGACTAGTTAGAGACCCCCTTAGGGACCTTCTCTGGTGCTGGCAGGAGGCTCCTGTTGCCATGATGTCTGTCACACTCCATCTTTCTGTTGCAGGTGGTTAGCTCAACCAATGGCGAGCTGAATGTCGATGACCCCACGGGAGCCCACTCCAATGCACCAATCACAGCTCACGCCGAGGTGGAGGTAGTCGAGGAAGCTAAGTACGTTCATCTTTTAAGGGGGCTCTTGAGTCCTAGATTGAAAAATCTATCTTTTCCTTTCTATGTGCTGTGCATCTCAGACCAGATTCCTCATGCTTGTGTCCTCAGCTTTCTACCTTTGACCATTTTATTTTTTGCATGGTACTTAAGGCTGCTTCTGCCCTCGTTAGCTGTGATTTCTGGGAAAGCCATTGCATTTTTCTAGTCCGCATGGGGCAAAAGACCTAGTGAACTAAAAGAATCGTGGTGTAAAAGCTAGAACAGATAGCAGTCCTAAGCCTTTTGGGTTCCTGGAGCTTCTTGCTCCCTATGGGACACAGAGAAAAATCTGTTTATCTTAAACCATGGACCATACTGAACAACATTTGATTTCTGGTTCTTAGCCAAGAATTCTGCATGTAGAATCCTGGAGCAAGGGTTTCAGGGCCATTGTGCTTTCACTTAAATGATTCTGGATTCAGAATCCCAATTTCAAACTCCCATTAAGTCAGGCAAGATAGTCTTGACACCTGTGAGTAAGAGAGTCTTGGGAGGAGAGGAAATCACACTACTGGGAAGCGGTGAGTCCACTCCCTTTTCTGCTTCTCTTGCCTGTGAATGTGTTGCCCTACCCATTCCATCAGCCTCTTGGTGCTCTCTGCATGGCGTGTGGTTAAACTCTTTAGCATATGGGATAGAAGGAGGAATAGTTGCCAATTCTGCAAAAGCAGCATTTCTATCTCTTCTTTCCCCTTTTGCCCCATCTCAAATTCCAATCTAGACTTAAACTCCAAAAAGACATGAGGTAGGGAGAGAAGTCCTTTACAAATCAGTAACTGCTGCTAAGCCTGATATGGGTAACCTTTCTTATAAACCCTTTGAGGACATTCAGGCTATCCCAGTATCTTGTTCTCAGAAGCAGACAACATATGAATAGTGATACTGTATCCCAGTTGGTCTCTTGAGCCCCCAGATGGCCCCAATACCAGCCCGAACATGCTTGCACCTCGGGGTCTCAAGTGGTGGGAGGCCAGGAAGAAAGACCTGCATTCTTCCTTCCAGCCCTCCTTTACAGGGCTGTCCCCTGCCCATTCCTCTGTTCTCCTGCTCATCTGTAGGATGAGCTCACTTTGCTTCCAAGAGGTCCTTTTCTTGAAAAGCCAGGATTTAAGGATTCCTACCTGTAGATAAAAAGCAACCAAGGATGAAATTGAACCTTTCTCTTGTCACATCTGTGCTGACTGTAGGCAGCTTCAGATGCTTCTCTCCTGCTTTATATAAGGCCCTGATAAGAAAGAAAGGCAGGGAGAGTTTTTAATGCCAGCAAGAGACCATTTTTAGTAAGGAAATATGCTCTTTATTCTCAGGGACTTTGGAGATTTTAAGCTTCCGTGACAAAACTTCATTCTCCCAAATAAACAGTATGGTACTCCTTATCCTCTGGGTTCTCAATATTGGCTGCACTTTGGAATCACCTGGGGCATGTTAGAAAATACATATATCTGAATCATGGCCTCAGAGAGTCTGATTTTATCTGGGGTTATGGCCTCAGCATCAGGAAATTTTAAAGTTGAGGTGATTCGGATGTGTGGCCGAGGTTGGGAATCATGGTGCTAAAGCATGTTCTGATTTAAACATTGTCTGGGCTTGAAGGATGGCTGTACCCTCCCCCCCCCCCCCCACCTCACTCCCAATTCATGTTATGGCTATTACTTTGAAGGCTAGAAGTCTAGTTCTGGATTTGATAGTGTACTTTGAATACCAAGATTGAAAGAGCTTATTAGTCTTAGAGTATGTCCTATTCAGGCTTATCTTTTGAACCCATTCTCTCATTTTGTTTTGGTAAATGTGTACACTGATTATGTATGTAAGTGTGGTGTTTGTGTCCTGTGTATGAAACAGGGGGTTGTTCACACAAAGAGATTTCAATGTGGTGAATTCTGTTGTAGTATAATCTAAAATCTAGGGTGTGAAGGGTGTTTACAGTCTCCCCATTTAGTAAAAAGGACTACTGTGCCTCTTTGCCACTAGTTCCAGGGCCTTCTGAAATGTGTGGAAAGCAGAGGGGAGCAGTTGTATTTGACCAAACATCATCTGAAAGCTCACTGCTTACGGCATTTTGTGTGCTGATTCCCCTAGTGATTTCATGAGCTACCAAACCATCTTGCCGAGGAAACTGTCAGCACAGCCATGTGGTTTTCTTCTTGGCCATCTATGTGTTTTGGAAAGGGGGAGGGGAGTCATGAATCCACCTGCTCCATCATTTTCATGGGAAGAAGTCACAGCTAGAGAAGCACAAGATGTTCCAAACAACCCCTCATTGCACGCAGCTGTGATGCCATTTGTCCATGCAGCCTACTTGTAGTGAAGAAAAGAGGGCTGTTGTCTATATTAAGATTCAACCAGGGGCTGGGGAGATACGTGAAACCTTCACATCCAAGCTTTTGATTTTGAGCTCCTCACCCAGCTTGTTTTGTGTAAAGGATGAGAGAAATAACAAGGTCTTGGTTTTTGTTCTGTATATGATATGAACATCTAACTGCCCTGTTCTTCTGGCTAGAGGACATATGTCCTTGTTTAAATATGATGAAAGGATGGTGAGGCAAGACAGCTTTTTGGTGGATTTTTGTTATGGTCAAAATAGGAGTTTTTGGTTATCCCCTGACTTTAGTTATAATTTAGCAGATGTGGACCTCATGTCTCCTGAGAATTGATAAGAATGGATGAAGGTCCTTTTCCTGGCGGTTGTACCTCAGTCCAGAGCAGTGATCTCCCCCTTGCTCTGCTTCATCTCCTGTTTCTAAAGCCTTTTCCCCCCATCTAGAGTAAGACCTAACTGCCAACGGCTCTGGTCAGGTGTGTTGGACTTACAGAAAGGCTAGGAACTTCTCCTTCCTTCAGAATACTTGGGAGATCAGCTTAACATTGCACAGTAAGACTTTGTGTGGGAACCAAAATGGCTCCCTGGGTGCTTGACTGAATCCTTACAGGCAGGATCATTTCTTCTTTTTCCTGCTACCTTCCTGGAAATTGCCCAAGAAAACCCACTCAGGGGCTCCCACCAACTCTTTCTGTTTTACCTTACCCTTCACTGAGATATCCAGCTCCCCCCTCGATGCTTCTGTCAGGTGCCTGCCCCCTCCACCTTAGTGTGGAGGCCAAGTGGCCCAAGCCTACTCACCCTACCTCCTCAACAGAGGAAGAAACGAAACACAGACACATACTGCATGTTTGCATGGCTCACAGGGAGTCGCTTCCATCTCACCTCTGTGGACTAATATCTCTCTCTTTCTCTCTTCCTTTCTGTGTTTTTCTCTTTACACACTCTGTAGCTGCCTGAAAATGCTCAACCTGTGGTGAGTCCCTCTCTCCAGTCCACATGCTAGGGGAGCGGACCAGACTAGGCTGGGATTGGCAAAGCCAAACAAAATGCCTTAGGAACACTGAATGGCTTCCATACGCCGCCTTGTGCCATAACCACCCAGACTGGGGAACTAGATCCACAAGGTGGGGATGGGGCAGGCCTACACCCAGGAATTAATCTGTTCCTTCTTTCCTTTCAAACCCATCTCATCACTCTCTCCTCCTGTCAAAACAATATCCCACAGTATCCAAAATTATCTATTTCCATCTGAGGGAATTATCTCTCAAATTGATAGACCAGAGATTATCAGACAGAGAGGGACAGAAGCAGGAGGACAAGGTTACTGTATCAGTCATTTTGATTATTCTTCAGAACCCCAAGGCCACTTGTTGCCAGATTATCTCACATTGTGTGGCTTGGTCTCTCGCCTGGAAATTGGCTGCTTTGGTAAAAAAAAAACGTTTCTTTTTGATTCAGCTAGTTCTTCCATCTGTAAAATGAATCTCTCAAAAAGAGCTCCTTCTTGGGGAAGAAATGGACATTTTGTTGTTTCGGGGAGGGGTTTTGTTTTTCATTTATTGTCTTTTTCTTTTCTTTTCCCTGTAAGAGTACATTTAGTGAGCCAAGGGCTGACTCAGCTAATAAGATGTTGGAGCCTCTCCTTTCACTCCTGGAAAAAGTTCCTTGAGTGCATTCTTAAGAACAGTACAAGCTATGTGGAGGGGGAAGCCCTAAAGAATCCACATTCACTGAGATAAATACTTGCTACAAGAAAGAGCCCACTCGCCAGCTTTCTTCTTAGATGTTGCTAGTGACCTTCCAGGTGTTCCTGAGCTAGTTGGTCGTTGCAGTCTGGAATTACAACTCCCCCACATTGTCTGCATGCATGAGGTCATATTCTATGTGGTGATAACAGCCTGCTGGACTCTATGATCACCTTGTTTCTGTTTGTCTTCAGTGACTGGGTCAGGCACCAGTTTCTGAACCCCAGTGGTCAAGCCAAGTTGCCTACAGGGTTTCCCCAGGGACAGGGATATATGGAAGATAATAATTGGGTTTTATACAAATAGAATTTGTAGTCTTGTGGTACTGAGAACTACACTTGGCCCCTTTATCTAGCAAATATGTCTGTGTGAATCTTATATTGTCAGTCTGTTTTTTTCCTGTGAGATGTCACTCACGTAACCCTGACTACACATACAGGACCTGCTGTGTGCTCATCCAACTCTGCTTAGAACTCTAGGGGAAGCCCCAAGAACTTAGGTGCCATCTAGCTGTATAGAGATAAAACATATATACTTGAAAGGACAAGTAGTTCTCCAGGACACTTCTTGTTATCCCTCAAGAGGTCACTATGGACAGGAATGGTCAAGAAAGACTTCATAGATAACAGTGAGGCTTGAGCCAGGTGTTAGAACAAGGGAAGAATGGGAGAGTACACTAAAGAAGAAAAGCGTGGCAAAGGGACAGCAGAAGGGGAGAGAACCAGGATGGAGCAAGAGAGCAGTATGGGAAAGGTAATGGCTCACAGGTCTGGCTTGTGAGTAGGGAGACCAGATTGATTCTCACTCCAGAACATTAGGAACTTCTGGTCATCCCATCAAAGAATTGACTGGAAGAAAACCTGCAACACAGGAAGAGTTCATCACTTACCTTCCTTCTCTTTGGAGAGTAAGACATCTGTATGGAGTTAGTTGGTGGGCTTGATAAGGGGTCTGACCCAGTTTAACAGGTCCTGCTGCTAGTAGTCATCACAGAAACTAGAGGGTCGAAGAGCAGATTGGGGGCCTGTTTCCTCATGGTTAGGATCAGGAAAAGCTTCTGCTATTGCTGAAGCATTAACTACACTAACTAGCAAAAATTAATCTAGGCTTCAAAACCACAGCTCACATTCCCCTTGAGCAGGCAAATTCAGCATGGGACATCAGTGATACTTGTAAGCAGACATTAATTCTTATGACTTGCCTTGAAGGAAGTAAAATGAAATATATAGTCTGAAAGGGACCAAAATAGTATTTCAAACTTCATTGTGATTGCTCTTACTTATTAAAAATACAAAATCCTCATTTTAGCATCCTAAAAAAAAAAAAAGAAGAAGAAGAAGAATAGAAATTGACTTAAATTTTAGTGATGTCTCTGAAATCATGGTTAACAGAGAACAGGTAACTGTTGCATTACTGATGCTCTCGTGAGATTTAATTTGCCTTGGTTAATATTAATTTCAGGACTTTCAATTTGGAAATGTCCATTTTCTTAAGCATATATAATAGAAAAAGACCATTTTTTTCTTGAAGCCTTCTCCAGGGAGAAGATGGTCTTAATCAAAAGCATTGGTCATTTTTATTTAAAAGAATTTATTGAATCTCCAGATACACATGCCACTTTATTTAGTGACTATATTAATACCCATTAATAGTATTTCATAGGGGACCTGGCTAGCTCAGTCAGAAGAGCACGTGGCTCTTGATCTTAGGGTTGCGAATTTGAGCCCCATGTTGGGGGTAGAGATTAGTTAAATAAAAAAATTAGTTACTTTAAAAAAAATAGCATTTCACAAATGTCATTGATACCTTCAGAAAATCTTTTTTAAGACTCCCTTAAGAAGGTCCTGTTTCCGTAATTTTCATTTTTTATTCATTCAGATATTGTTAAAGGTTATCATTACCTGTATAAATGTGTTTCTGCATTCTAAGAGACCTCCAAAATTTTAATACCCTGTCCAAATACCAAGGGGTCAGGCTGAAAAAGGAGAGAATCTTAGCCACAGTAGATGGAGAATTTAGGGGTATGGAAAATAAGCACCAGTTCCTTATTTTCATACGAATAGCCCTGGCGTTAAACCCAGTGGGATTTAAGCAAGAGAACCAGAAAACTTCTCTCCAAAAAGCTTTCCTTTCAAGGGTCAAGTTTGCGGCTTGACTCCCCTCCACCATCTGGCACCTTTGACTCATCCATTCCTTCTGGCCCTCACATCCTCATTTTCCACATATCAGCTTTCTGGGAAGGACATATCTCTTGCACCAGTCATGCCACAGCCCTCATCACCCCCTTATGGACTTAGTCACTGCCTCAGCAAGAGCTGCTCCCTATTCCAGAGACAGGAGCAAGGAGGGGATGCTCGGGCTTAGGGCTATTCCAGAGCGTGGCTTTTGCCCAGGGAACAGAACATGGAGGGTGGATAAGGGGAGCAGGCCCTGAACTCCACCCTGCATGAGGGCCAGTCCTCTAACCCCATCTGGCACAGCAGCAGCAATCTCCGTAGCTAAGTTGAGGACCTGCAGCCATACGCTTGCCAACGCTCAGCTCCCGGGCTGCGGCCTCAGTCCCCTCAGAACAAAAAGTGGGCTGTGCTGATTTCAGTTGGGGGATCTGGGCTCACAGTTCTTACTAGATTCGGGGCTCCTCCTGCCTGCTCTGGGTAGCTGGGTGGGGTTGGGAATGGGGATGCAGGATGATGAGCATCCTTAATCCTTCATTGGTAGCATCGTGAGATCCTGCTAGAGTTCCAGTCATACTTTGGGGGGGGATTTGTTTGCCTCAGTTTAGCTTCTTACCTACTTCCTCCTGAAGCTGCATTAAATCATTTTCCTCTCCGTTTCAAGGGGCAGACAATGCAGGCTAGTCTTAAGCAGCCCTGAGGACCCTCACCTTGGTTCTAGATAAAGATGAGCTATGTGGGCTGAGTAGGAGACCAGAAGACTAGCCTTCTTCCTCCTTCCAGAGATGCCTGTTTTGGCCCTGCCTCGCCTACAGCCTTTTGATGATGAGGCTTGGTAGCTGTAGATTCAAATGAGGCAGCTACTTCCTTTGGCTATCCTGGCAGACACTGCCTACTACTTCCAGTGTGTGCACTGTAGAAGGTGGGTGGCCCTGTGGTTAGATGCCGGGGTGGGGGAAAATCCGCCTCTCTCCCACCCCACCCTCAGGAAGCAGAAGCAGGCAGAAGCTGTCAGAAGCTGCAGGCCTCCCGCACTGATTGGCAATGTTCCTTGTGCTCCAGGTGCTGCTGTTTTTTTAAGAGGAAAAGGAAGAAGACTGCCCAGCGCCACAAGTGACCAGTGCCTCCCAGGAGTCCTCAGGCCCTGGGGACTCTAACTCAATTGCACCTGCAGCTCCTGCCATTTTTCATTGGAAGGGACTCTCCTCTGTGGGGGAGGATAGAGATCCAAACCAAAAAGAAGAAAACAGATGCCCCAGAAGGAGCCAGTGTGGGCAGCCAGGGCCCAATGGGTCAGTGGCCATCCCCACCTGCCTAAAGCTCTGAGCAGGTCCCAGAGCTGCTGCTCCTCCTCTGCTTGCCCTTGGGGCTGCCTGGTTGACTCTCCTTCCTATTGTTTACAGTGAAGGTGTCATTCACAAAAACTCAAGGACTACTATTCTCTTCCCTCCCCTAGTTTACTCCTGATTCTTGCCCACCCTCAACCCTTTCCAGCATAAAAGCTAGTGAGTTAAAGGCTTTGTCTGCTGAAGGAGCTTAAGAGGCTGGGGGTGCGGCCAAGAAGGCAGGGGGAAGATGGCAGGCCTGGGCGGGAGAAGAACCTTCTCCAACTACCAGCTGTGCCTGGCAGTATGGCTCCCTCCTCCTCTGTGCCTGTGCGGCCTCCATCCCCAGCTGGCCACGGGGTGCAGGTCCCTCCCTCCCTTCCTCCTGTGAAGTTACACTGTCGGACACAAGCTGTGAGAAATTTGCAGTCTACTGTCCCTGCGTGTTGGCATTTTTCGCTCTCTCAACAAGCGAACTCTGTTCTCCAGACGGTAGTAGGACAATGCAAATTGTTCTGCGCAAAGGAAACAAAAACTGACTTTATTGCACTTTTAGTTGTTTTTTTTTTTTTAAACAAAAAACATGGCAGATGCATATTGTGTCTGGTTATATCGAGAGTTTTACTTTTTTTCTGTTTTGAGGGGGATGGGGCCAGCCAAGCCATTCAGAGAGAACATGGGTCCAGAGGACATTCTCAGTGAAAAAAAGTTGGGTCTACAGCACCCAGAAGAGAAGAAGCCAAACTCTGTCATTCTGAGTAAGCACTCAGGTTGGCAAGGAAACATACTTGAATTTTCATTCATCTTCTCAGCTGCTGAAGAATGTCCCTACCAGAGCCTCTTGACCTCATCAGCCTACAGTTTGGACAGCCTAGCTCTCCAGCACTTGGATGAGCCAGCCAAGCCAGACTGTGACCAGGAGAAAGAGATGCTTGACAAAAAAATTGGAAATATTGGTTTCCTCCACTGCCAGGGACTTCCAACTAGATAGCCATGTGACTTCCTTAGTGATTTGGGGGACAAAATTAATGATGAAAGAGCCACCACCATCTTGCCACTAGTGGACAAGAAGAGGAGGAAAGTGAGCCTTTCTTCCGGCTGCCAGAAGAACCTCAGGATTTGGCATCATAGGGCCATGAAATAAAATCAGTATGTACTGTCTGCCCCAGTAGCTGAGGGGTAGCGTTTGGGCTGGCCTGCCTTATCAGAAACCAGGCACCTGCGGCAGGCTCAGGACTGAGCACATGGGGCTGTAGTGAACAGGAGGGTAAGATTGGTTGGTGCCAGAAAATTCCAGGGGAAAGGATACTGAAATGAAAGGTCTGAAATTATCTTCTTAATTGGATATAGACTCCTTCCAAGTAAGATGGCCATGGATCTAGAGCATGTTTTACCCAGTCCACTGTCTGGTTTTACCCAGTCCACCTAATCTACTACGATGAAGGGTCTTGGTTCTTCATGTACTGCTTGGAAAGTCATTAATGTATGGAGTTCATCTTATTGTGCTCAATTTTCATTTGAGTTCAGTGGCTTATGCCAACAGTGACCTCATTCCAGATGTGATAGAGAAGAATCACATCAGGGAACAAGGCCTTGTATCTGGGAGTAGAGAGAGCTGACCATGGAGGACAGTGGCTGGTGACTGAGTCTGGTGGTTTTGGGAACACAGAAATCACTGCCTCTGACTTGAGGTGGAGGGCCATCTTTTGGACTGGAGGATCTGAGGCTACTTTCTGGTAATTGGCATTTCCTGACAAGTCCCTTGATGTATTTCACATGGAGCAGAAATAGCAGCAGTCACATCGATGAGAGTTACTGGGCTTTACCTGTCCTACTGGGCCTTGGCTAGAAATAGGAAGTATCACTTTACTGGCTTCAGACCTGCTTAGCTCATGTAAAGATTGTAGTCTTTCCTTTCTTTAAAAGAAATTTTCCTATATACAATACAGAGTGGCTGGGAGACACAGCGTCACAGCCCTTTTCCACAAGGATTTTTGAATATTGCTTCTTTGATATTACCTAGTGGTTAAGGCACCATCTCAGAAACTTAGAGTTTCACAATTGGCATTTGGACAACTCAAACTTCCCATATAGAAACTTTAATTCCTTATCCCTTGTATAGAAAAAGCCTTGCCTCTCAAAGGAGGGCAAGAGGAAATGGTGACAAAGCCTCTAGCATCCTGGCACTCCATACCCACTAAGTGCCTCCCCACCTCTGCTTCCACAAAAAAGCAAAGGCAGTGACCAGCTTGGCTCAGGGCAAGCCCCCTGCAGCTGGGTTTGTGACTTTTTTTTTTTTTTTTTTTTTGTCTTAAAATGTTTTTAACAGCTAGCTCTTGAGGGGTTTAAACCTAAGCAGTTATTGGGGGGGGGTCCTTCCTAATGCACTGTTCTTTCTCTGCTCCCCACAAATCCCTTACTAGGTATTTGATTTTCATAACAAAGGGTAATGGTGATTCTTCTAAGGCCATTAGCACTCCAAGGTGGTCCCAGACCCCTTGGATTCTATTGTGATCTTCCTGAAAATTAAGAAGTAAATAAAAAGACTACCTAAGGAATAATTGGGCCATCAGTCCCATCCCCAGCAGCGCATCAGGGCTCCCTTCCTCAGCCCTCTTGCTCTAGTTGCTTAGCGCTGTACCTCAGCCAGTCGCCTGAGGCTGGGCACTCCCTCCACCCACCAACACCCCAATCCACTCACTGCAGTTTTTCCAGCTTTCTCCATTTCACAACATGGTGCCTAGGGATCTTTTTCTTTGGGACTGATGCAGTTGCTTCTGACCTAGCAGTAAGTACTAACAGCATTTGTTCATTTAAAAAACCCTTACTATATGCTATTAGGAGTTCTCCCGAACCCTATGGTCCTTCTGGCATCGCATCTTGAGCAGATTGAAGCAAGCAGGCCAGGCATCCACCCAGGCATAAATGGTCCTTTTTGTATGACCAGAGGATGACCTGTGTCTGTACAGTCAGGCATTGTAAGGGTTGATCACTTGCTGCACACACCCTGGCATTTCCCAGTGATCTCACTCTAGATTACTCTGCAAGAGTGAGTGGTGTGCCAGCAGCCAGTGTGCTTTCACAAGGGCCTTGATGAACATTCTGGTATATTGAGTCTGTCTAGGAGTAAACAGAGTCTAAGAAGAGTACACTGGTTGACCTCCAGTTAAAGCTCCACTTCACTCTGGAACGCAGGGGCAACAGGAGGCAGCAGAATCCTGGGGTTTTCAGTAGAAGTGCTGATTTGCCTGTTTATCTCCGTGAACTCCAGGTACAAAGAAGCAGCCCCTGCCATTAGCCAGAAGAGGGTCCCTCACCTGTATCTCCCAACTTAGTTCACTGGAAGTCTCCCCTGATGGTGCATATTCACTGTTAGTAACCATCTTTAATGTCAGGAATATGCAGTGATGGTAATAATGTATGTCAGAGTGGTTACTAAAGATCATAGCCTTAACTTTTTTTGTATGCAAAAGATACAGTTCATTCCCCCTCTAAGTGAGCAAGCTCTGCCTGCATTTATAAAAAATAAGTACTTTCATGGCGGCCTAGAAAGCATCTCAAAGGAACTTGATCTTCTGATGCATCTCTCCCAATTCCATATGCCTCCTGTGTGTCCCAGTCACCTCTTACATTTTCATATTTAAACCAAGTCTCCATCCCCAGTGAATTTCCCTGATACTGTCGTCTCCAGGGTCGGCCACATTAAAGCTAGAGTCACTCAGACTGGGAACTTGCAGCGCTGTCTGGGCAATGTTGCCTTTGCCAGTCCACTGCCACCATCCCCGCCATTGCCCCCAAGGTGTGCAGATAAAGGAGCCAGGGTAACGAGGCTGTGGATTGGCTGGAACAATCCACATCTGGATTGGCTGTATGAGCAACAGGCACTTGTTTCTGGGGTTCTTGCTTTTGCCAACTCCAGGCCTCCAGGAAAGCCCTGTCTAGAGATTGATGGCCAGTGACTCCCAGTCTTCCCTCTGATGGGTCAGCAGGAATCAAAATAAGGTTCTTACAGTTTTGTTATCTTGTTGGGGTGGGGGGAGGGGGGAGGGAGAAGGGTGGCTTTGTTTCTGAATACAAAGAAAAGGAAACCATGGCCCTTTTGAGGGTTTGCAGAGTTTAGCCACAAGTAAGGAATCTTGGAAGTCTTCGATCAATTAAGCAGTCTTAAAAACATGTTATAACTCCTTTTGCAGGTAAGTGCAAAAGAATAGATTTCTCCATTGTATTCAAAATAGTAAGTAGGTTCCCTGGATATAGACAATAGTAGTTGACAGAGTTCCTCAAAAAGCAACCAGGAAGTCCACTCCAGTATTTGTAGATCAGCTTACAAAGGAAAAAGTGAATGTGTACTCCATATATTTCTAGTTTCATTACCAAACTTGATGTAATAAAGAAACCTCAGTTCTGTGGACAGAATTTTTGTTACTTTCCTCCTCTTTCTCCTCACAATCATTTCCAGTGCCATCACCCTCAAAGTCTGACCAGAGGGTTATCCATGATAAGTGGGGGTGCAGTGCACCCATCCCAGTAATATACAGAGGACGGCTGTCCTGACTGCCTCTTCCCTGCAAACCCCTTCGGGCAGGCGAGACATGGTCAGTTTCCTCCGCATGAGCTCCAGACCAAATCCCAGGCCAGCCCTTGCACCGAAAGCTTTTTTAAGAGGCTTGTCAATCTGTTAGGAATGTGTCAGGAGAGATGAGCCATTTCTTTGGGGGGAAATATATTTACAGATGGGTGTGTGTGGTTGCACTTGTATGCCTGTGTGTGCGTGTGTGCACGCACGCGCACATTCTCATCTGTGCGTTTCACTTCCATAAAGACTCACAGCCCAGGCTGCTGGGACCATGTGTTACTGAGTATTCTCAGAAGTAAAGAAATAACAAGTGAGCTTCTCAAATTAGTGTCACAGCAAACTGGCTCTGGGAATGAGCCCCATTTATTGAGCAGAAGAGTAAACAGAAAAGAGATGAAACCAAAAATATAACCCACCCCCCAATGGAAAGTAATGTTGATTCATCAATTCCCATTGGATATATTACATCCTCTAATTTATTATATTATTTTGTCTGTTTCTTTAATCTTTGCCCATTGTACTTTGAAAAAGATGTTGGGATGTTGATTGCAATTTTTTTAAGACTAGATGATGTATAAATCAGCTGTGGAAATCAGTTTTAATTGCTGTGTGAATGTGTCTGATTATTGTTAAATGCCTTTTTTTTTTAACTTTTTTATTTTAGATATGTGATGTTGTTTCATAAACCCTGGCACTGGTCGCAAAGCTCAGCTGTGAAAATGAAACTTGTAGTATTTTTAAACATGAATGTCAATTTCGAGTGTATTTGAAACGGTTCCTCCAGGAGAGAGATTTGTACACCATTAGGAGAAACTCCTCTGCAGAGGAAGTAGCCTTCTTTGGAGAAAATGGAAAATGGGTCTTGATATGTTATCTCAGAGTAGCCCATTTCCTAGGGCACCATGGAAAACACAAATGTGATCTTTAAGTATACCTCTTCCCCAATTTGGGGAAGAAAGAACTCAGTTTGCACCCTTTTTGTATGTAAAATAAAATGTCTTACCTTTCTTGACTAATTTTCGTTGGTTGGTTGGTCTGGTTTTAATTTTCCCTGGTTCCTTTGTAACTAAGAATCCAGCTAGGATGAACTCAGATATGACTCAGGGCTCCAATGAATGAAAATGATGCCTGATTCTGTGGTATTCTTGCTTCATTCTTTAGGGTTGCTCTCTCTTGTCCGTCACTTTTAAATATTCCTGGCAGAACCTGGACACTGATCACTCACATACTGGTCCCTAAATTCCTGTGGTTCTTGAGATCTACTCTGTGGAGCAGCTTTGGAATAGCTTTAAAATTCTGCTCCACTAACTGAACATCTGTGCAGATGGAGGATAAAACTATGATGTGCAATTTTAACATCGTAAGTGTATATATACATATGGCCACAAAACTCAATTGGCATGATTGGCTGGTTCCCATTTTTTTGTTACTACGCGATCACTACTTAATGATTTGGCTTTTTTCACTGGTAGGTAAGTAAGCAGAAGACCTGTTTTAAGATCATCATGAGAGAAAAACTTCACACTTAGAACATGTTATCCATCAAGCTTTTTTTTTTTTTTTCCTTTCAAAAGTGGTAGAGGACATACAGAGCAGGCTGCTTTTATGACATCTTGGCATTAGCTTCACATGTGGAGAAGGCTACTCTGAAACCATAGCAGTAAACATTTTTCTCAATGGCTCTGGACAGCATGAGACCAGTTCATGGGGGAAAGAAGCCTGACCAAAAAAAATAGTGGGAGTGGGGAGATTGGAAGATGAACTTCGTCAATCCAACAGTTTTACCTAGGAAGAACTTCTGCCAGATTGAGGTGGTCTGGGTGAGGTGTGAGGATTAGAAACAGCCAGTGTTATTTGTGTTTATGTGAGAGACCTGTGGAAGCTTTGCAGCCTAGCTCCACTGACCTCAGTGTAAGCAAGGACAAGTCAATGCCAGGGACAATGCATAACCTCAAACATAGGTCCACACCTCAGAGAACAAATTGCAGGGTTCAACTAATTGAAACAGAGCCATGCCTACCTACAATTTGGGTTTTGAAGACCAAAGATTTCTATATTAATCTTTGAATATTGGTCTTAAAGACCAAGACATCATAGGTGAAAGTTTTTGAAAGATGGGTGTAATTTAATTTTTCTGGGTAAGACCCAGCACCGAAGTATGTATGTTGTAGACCAGAACAAGTGTGAAAGCATCTGACGACTATCGTCGACCTTGCCGAAGGTTTCTAGAGGAGAGATACTGAACCTCAGGCCATTTCCATGGCATATATACACACACACACATATATATAAATTATTTCCCACCTCAGTGTTATTAACATGATGCTATCACAACCAGTATTTGTTGGACACTTCACTCTGCAAGTTTTGGGGGAGATGTACACAAAATAAGTGCAACACATGCAACACAGTTCGTTGCTCACAAAAAAGTGGTTACTTGGCAGCGCCTGGGTGGCTCAGTTCAGATTCCGACTCTTGATTTCAGCTCAGGTCCTGATCTCAGGGTCGTCAGTCCAATCCCAGTGTTGGGCTCTATGCTGGGTGTGGAGCCTACTTTAAAAATAATAATAATTATAATAATAATGATGATGATGTTAGTTGGGAAAAGAGGTAAACAAAGGAATTTAAGAACCAGGAATAAAGTGTGCATTGACTCCTACATAGAGCAGTAAGCGCAGTAAGGCCAGAGAAAAACAGGTAGTAAACGGACAGGGACAAAGTGGAAAACAAAAGGCTCTGAAGCAAGCTTAGCAAGACAAGCAGAAGGAGCAGTAAGGTCATTATCTGGGTGAGCAGAAGCGGGCCCCACGTGGGACGATACCACTTATACCCAAGCTAGTGCAGCTCAGGCCTGGCGGGCCCAAGTCGGGAAGCGACGAGCGCCTCCTCCCCGCTCCGCCCCAGGGGCAGGCGCGCCGAGGGACAGGCCGCTTTGCACGCTGGGCTTTGGAGTCCCGGCGGGGACCCAATCCGCGCGCTCTGCGGGCGGCGCCCCCGTGCGTGAGCCGCCGCCTGGCGGGGGCCGTAGGCGAGCCGGGGAGCCAATGAGGCCACCGTAACGTGGCAGCCCCCCGCGAGCCCGCGTCGCCGCCGACCCGGACTGCAGGCCGGGCCCCGCCCCCCACGGGGACCTACCACCCGGCGCCGACCCGGAGGGGGGACGCGGGGGCCGCCGCCCGCCAGGAGGCGCGCAGGAGCCCCGGCCCCCCCCGCAGCCGCGCCCGGTGGTGCCGCCGGGACCCACGCCGACGCGGCCCCACCCTCTTCCGGCGCTCGGCTGCCGGGGCCGCGCTCTCCTCGGCCGGTGGATGCTGCGCCTCTCCGAGCGGAACATGAAGGTTCTCTTCGCCGCCGCCCTCGTCGTGGGCTCCGTCTTCTTCTTGCTGTTGCCAGGCCCCTCCACGGCCGACGAGAAGAAGAAGGGGCCCAAAGTCACCGTCAAGGTCCGCGCTCCCCTCCCCGACCTGCCCGGCGAGGCCCACCCCCCGTTGCCCGCGCTCGGGCCTGGGCGCCGCTGGGCGCCGCTGGCGCCGCGGGCGCCGGGTGCGAGGCACTTAGGCCCCGGGGCTCGGCTCGTCCCCGGCTCCCCGCGGCGGCCTCGCGGCGTCCGGGCAGCCCTCTCCGTCAGCCCGGAGAATGCCCGGGGACCCTGTCCGCCTCGGGGCGGTCTCTGTCGCGGACGCCGTGCAGCCTCTGGGGAGGCGGCGAAGCATCACGTGTGGCAAACTGTGCATCTTCACGTGGGCCAGATTTTACCCGCTTCCAGTTAATTACAAAGCACGGCTGTCCCCTTGAAACTTGCGTGACGGGTTTAGACTGCCCTCCTTACGGTGTTGGGGTGCCCACTTCTAGAATCTGCGCTCATGATTTATTTAGACTAAAGGTCGTTTGCTACCCTGTAGTCTAAAGGAAGTGCAGACAAACGTTTTCTGGGAAGAGGGTCTGGAGCCTTCATTAGATTCTCGTAGGGCTTCTTTGGTCACCACCGAAAGCAGCTTCAGAACCATTGCTCTCAAAATACGGCCCAGCTCTCTGCCGTTTTGGCACCTTCCTGGGCCCTCCCTTCCCTGGCAGGACCCCTGTAAAAAAGGCAGAGTTTGAAATGGTCTTCTTCCTCAGGTGTACTTCGACCTTCGAATTGGAGATGAAGATATAGGCCGGGTGGTCATCGGTCTCTTTGGAAAGACTGTTCCAAAAACAGTGGATAATTTTGTGGCCTTAGCCACCGGGGAGGTAAGTGGCGAGGGCAGAGGTATTCGGAGGCCCCTGAAGTGAAGCTGGCGAGCAGGGCTGGCAGCAAACTCAAGTGCAGAGCGTGGTCCATCTTTAGCTTGGCGCTCGCAGAGTACCAGCCCCCCGCCGACCCGCAGCTCTGGGAACCTGCTATCACCATTTCTTTGAGGGTTTTTTTTTTTTTTTAAGGTTTTATTTATTTATTCATGAAAGACACACAGAGAGAGAGACAGGCAGAGGAAGAAGCAGGCTCCATGCAGGGAGCCTGACGTGGGACTCGATCCCGGGACTCCAGGATCACGCCCTGGGTCGAAGGCAGCGCTAAACCACTGAGCCACCCGGGCTGCCCTCTTTGAGGGGTTTTTTTTTTTAACAAAATCCAGAAATATGCGTGGTGAGGTTTTTTTGGAGAAAATTTTTCATTTTTAAGACATTGCAGTAATCAAGGAAACTTGATTACTAGCAAACTAGTTTGTGGCCTATGCACCAGAACTTTCACTTAAAGCTAAGGGGCCCAGAGCTCCCCAGACTTTAAAGAAACAGGAGTGCCCTGCTTAAGAAACTTTGTATTCCTCTTAACTCTAGAGAACAAACTGGTGGTTGCCAGAGGGGAGGGCTGGGGATGGGGTGAACAGGTGAAGGGGATTAAGAGCACACTTCCCATGAGGAGCACTGGGTAACGTTAGAATTGTTGAATCACTATATTGTACACCTGAAACTAATATAACACTGTATGTTAACTGCACTGGAATTAGAATAAAAAATTATCAAAGAAAAAAAAAAGTCTGTATTCCAACTTTGCAGTGACTCAGCAGGTAACTTTTTATTGGTTTTTGGTCTGCTTTCTTGCATTCCTTTGTTTAGTTTTTTTTAAGATTTTATTTGAGAGAGCGAGCACACAGAGGCAGGGGAGAAGCAGGCTCCCACTGAGCAGGGGATCAATCCCAGGACCCTGAGATGGTGACCTGAGCCAAAGGCAGATGCACCCAGGTGCCCCAACATCTGGGTTTTTTTGTTTTTTTTTTTTAGATTGTTATTTATTTTCTCATGAGAGAGAGGCAGAGGGAGAAGCAGGCTCCATGCAGGGAGCCTGACGTGGGACTTGATCCCAGGTCTCCAGGATCAGGCCCTGGGCTGAAGGCGGCGCTAAACCACTGAGCCACCCGGGCTCCCCAACATCTGTTCTTATGAAGAGAAAATGAGAAAAACATAAGTGGGGAAAGGTGGAGGCATGTGAAGTAGAATTGTATAAAGATAATGTGCAGTCTTAGCCTTTCCTGGGCCTGTGGGCTCCCTGCCTGGCCTGCAGTAACTGCTCACTCAGTAGCATGTGGAATGAGAGGTCTGGTCAGCAGTAGTGTCTCTTCTGTGAGCAGGCGCTAGGGACTGGGCTCCTACAGGGTGTACTTAATATCTGCATGGTGCCTCATGCCACCTCTCACCTTCTCATTCTCTTTTCTAGAAAGGATTTGGCTACAAAGACAGCAAATTCCATCGTGTGATCAAGGACTTCATGATCCAGGGTGGAGACTTTACCCGAGGAGATGGCACTGGAGGTAACCTCAGGTCCCCTGGGCAGAAGGGTCTGTTAGTGCAGCCTCCAGGCTGGGAGGTCTGGGCCGTGTTGGGCAGACCGGGCTTCCTGCTCACCCAGTTCCACTGGGGTCAGGACTGGCACCCACATGGGGACTGGCTGCAGCTTTCTTTGTATAGGGACCCCAGGACAAAGGAGAGGAGATTGGTGAGGGGTCATGTGGCTCTCACCCAGCTGGCAGGCCTCCTGCTCAGGGCCTACAGCCTTGGTGACTTTTCTTGAGGTACCCCCTGGGGGTTGGGGAGGCTAAGTGAAACACCTGGGTCATGATTCTGGGTCAGGCTGTCCTTGCGTTGTTTACCGTGAGGGTGGGAGGAACTAGAGGAAAACCACATGAAAGCTATAGAGCAGTACAGAACATAGGTGATGGCCTTTGGCAGCAGTACCCGAGAGGGAGCAGACATAATAGAACTAGCACTGTGTGTGCATGGGGTCAGACACAGTGGGCAAGACCTGCCATCTCTGTGCTTTGTGACCTCAGGCAGGTGAGTCCTCTCAGTATCTGTTTCCCCCTGTATAGAGTAAGAGTAGGAGGTGTTGGGGTGCTGCATGGTAGGTGCCTGGCATATGGTACGTCTGCCACTGTGGAGGTGCCAGCAAGCAGAGGAGTCGTTTTGGGCCAAGCTGATCAGGAAGTGGCCTTGTGAATGTGAGGGAAGATTTGAGCAAGGTTCTGGCCCAGGAGAATTTGGGCAAAGAGGCAGGACTAAGGTGAACACAGCTCTGTTCTGTGGCAGGAGCGTGGCTGAAGGTGGGGTCTGTAGATGGAGGGAGAGCAGCCACCACACTGTGGGCCGAGAGTGGTAGGCCGTGGCTAGACCTGGGAACCTGGGCTTTGTCCTATGTGGAGGGAGGATCCACAGAGGACTGGAATGGGAGGAAGACCCAGGAGCAGAGGGGTCTGAGGGAAGATCATGTGGCAGTTTTCCTATGTATAAAATGCTCCTGACGGTAGTCTGGCAGACATTGTTCCTACTCTGAGCATTAATTGTTTCTGCAGTGAGAGTGGCAGACGCTCTCTAGATAGATAATGCGGTGGAACCACGTGGACAGTGTGCAAAGGAAAGGCCAAAAGAATAACTGAAGTCTGGAGGGAAAGATGATGAAATACACTGAACTTAAAATGAAGAGTTCTCCATTTGAGTTTGGAACTCCTTATGTGTGTTGGGAAGGTGATCGGACCCAAGATGGAGATGTGGGGTCTTCTGGAGAGTGGCAGTAACTGAAATCCTGCTGTCATTGGAGATTTACAAAGAGGTCTCTCACCTCGGAGACACACTTAGCCAGCACTCGAGCCAGGAGTCTCTGCAGAGGGTCAGGTTGCTCCCTGGCCTGGCCCTGAGATGCCCCCACCAGCGTCTAGCGATTCTTGGTTTTGGCCTTCCCCACCTGCTGCATAGTCAGAAATGCCTCCCTGATGAGCAGCCGTCCAGGACAGCTTCCCAAGCTGGGTCCATTCTCTGGAACCACAGGCTGAAAATAGGTATACTGGGGAAGAAAAGGGGTTTCATACACAAATGAGTTCTAAAGGTGTTGCGTAAAACAAAATGAGATTCGTTACTGGGTTTCTCCAGGGCCCGTAGTAGCTAATGAACATGGTGTGAATCTCCCGAGAGGGGACGGAAAAAGAAGGGGGCAGGATTTCTCCTGGAAGCAGCTCTGGAGACTTAGGTGAGGATCTCTGAAATGACCTCAGACCCCTCGCGGATGGACACACCACACACATCAACAACTAGCTTTTATTTTATGTTCATTGGTAAAAGGCTCTTAATTATCCAGAACCCAAATGGCAGCCTCTCCCTACTCCTCTGTCTTCTGTGCTGTTACGAAGAAAAACTGGTCAACTATAGCTGTCCTCCTTTTCTGGAGAGTTCCTACCTCCTCTGTGTCTCTGCGTCTGCAGATACCGAAGTATCTCAGTTTCTGTGGCAGAACTTTCAGGCCATAGCCAAGGTAACTGTTGATCTACGCCTTATTTAAAATCCACTAAACTGTATTCTCAAAGTAATCGGGTGAGCTGTTCACTAAATCAGCGGGGCATAAGGCCAGGCTGGGTCTGTCAGCACAGTTTGGCTCCTAGACCAGAGGGTAGGAAGGGGACAGCTTTTGTCTTTATAAGCTGCTGCAGCCTGGCATTGAAGACAGGTTCAGTCCCTGGAATCCTCACCCCAAAGATCTGCTTGGTTTGGGCCAACCCAGCTCCCTGACCTACTCTTTCTTCCCAGGAAAGAGCATCTATGGTGAACGCTTCCCTGATGAGAACTTCAAGCTGAAACACTATGGGCCTGGCTGGGTGAGCATGGCCAATGCAGGCAAAGACACCAACGGCTCCCAGTTCTTTATCACGACAGTTAAGACTGCCTGGCTAGATGGCAAGCACGTAGTGTTCGGCAAAGTTTTGGAAGGCATGGTGAGTTTGGGGGGCAAGGGCTAAACCTGGGCAACTTTCACCCCACAGCAAGGGTGCCACATATTTTACCCCTTTCCCAAAAGGGAACCCACAGATTCCCACCAGCGTTCATATGTACAGACCTGGTTGGGGCAGTGGGGATTCAGAACTACCCAATTTCTCTGCCCCCAAGTTCTTGATTCTTCCGGCCCCGAGGCCTGTTGAGGCTGCGCAGGTGCAGGAGCCTCCATGTCACAACTTAGTGCTCTGCTGGCAGCTCCCCCCCAAGTTGTGCAGGACACAGCCAAACATGACGTCCCTGAGAAGATACTTGGTACCCAGTCCCCAGCCACCCTCTTCCCCTGGGCCTTAGCTCAGAGGATCAAAACTTTTGCATCCTCCCTTCAGAGCTGGGCTCTCCCTGGCTAGGATTCCCTGAGGGTTTTGCTTGCCTCGCAGTTGCATGCTGTTGGTCACATGGGGTTCTCAGCCTTCCCAGCCATATTCCGGGGCCTTTCTCCCTTGAGGGGTGGCCCTTCCTGCCTCACTTTGCTGTACCCCGCTGCCTCCCTTCCCAGGAGGTAGTACGGAAGGTGGAGAGCACGAAAACAGACAGCCGGGACAAGCCCCTGAAGGATGTGACAATTGCAGACTGTGGCAAGATTGAGGTGGAGAAGCCCTTCGCCATCGCCAAGGAGTAGGGCCCCAGGGACCGCTTCCCTTTGAGCCACCATCTGCGCGTCCCTGTCGCCTTCCCATGGGTGAGGACGGCCCGCCACAGGGCATCGTGCTGAGGGGCCCTGGTGCTGGCATCTGACGGAGCGGACCCCTCCCCTCACATTCCATAGGCCAGCGGCCTGGTTTTGTAACAAACTCAAACTCAATGCTGACCAATTAAAAAAAAACGGTGGGTTTTTTATAACCAGTGTGTGGGCTGGGTTCTTGGGCCTGCAACACCTGCTCTAGTTTGTCCCAGCCTCTCTGGGACTCTGGGGTGGAGGAGTGGGTAGCTGTCCTCGTTTTCCCCAGATACCAACTCTGCTCTTGCTTCTAACCCTTGCCACCACAGAGCCTCAACCTTTGAGTGTCCTCCGCCCACTTCTGGTGAAGGTGAAGAAATCTGCCTCCACCTTTCACAGCCTACCTCTAAATTGACTTCTCCCTTTATTCCTTATTCCCCATTGTCCGTCCCCTGGCACCTGGGGTGCCTAAGTCCTGGGTCTGGGCCAAGGGGGATGCAGCCTCTTCTGACGGGGAGGCACATAGAATGAAGCACGTGCCTGTCCTGACAGGCAACCCATAGGTCTCTTGGCTGGTCAGGGCATCAGGGCAAAGGAGCAGTTTGAAAAGCAACCTCTGGCTGAGCTTTAGCTGGCCTGTTGGTGAAGCCATAGAGGCCCTGGAGCACGCCATTCACCACCACGTTGGGCAGAGGCTCTGTAGGACGGGGGAAAAAAAAAAACAGGAGGAAGGGGTAGGGTACTGGAAAGGAAGACAAGAGGTAGGGGGCGCTAGCCTCTGGCCTGCAGTTCCTTGAGCTCCGGAGCCCATAAGCTCAGCCCTCTCCTCAGGAACAGAAGCCCCCTGCTAAGGCCACCCTAAATGAGGCCTTGGCATTCCCGTCACATTGTTCACATTAGCTTGGTAAAGCCACGCTGGTGAGGAGTGGAGACCAGGGAAGACCATGCCTGCTGCTGCTTTTTTTTTCATGCCTGCTTCTTGAAGGAGAATACAAAGCAGGCTACAGGAGCAACAGGACAGGTGTGGCTGCAAAGACTGGCAGTGGGCATGAGATGCTGCCTGCAAGTCCTGAACTGAAAATGGCACATTCACCTCCAACTCCCACCCTAATAGATGACCTAGGCCCTATAGATGGGTTATAGGTCAGAGGCACCCCCTCACCTGGGGATGGACTGCAAATGTAGGGATCCATGCAGAAGCTGATGACAGGCTGGTGGTGCAGCTGCGAGCTTAAAGGGAAGAGTCCAGAACAGTGAGGGTGAGGTGGGCCAGGAGTCTCCTGTCTGGTAGAGACTAGGGATTGGGCTCACTAAGCACCCAAAAGGGGAAAAATGAGTGGGAACTGGGTTCAGGAGGCACCAACAGAAACTGAGCCGGTGGGGATGCCAGGCAGCAGCAGGCCCGCCTCCTGGCACCTGGCCACTAGGGGGCAGCAGGAGCGGGGCAGGGGCTCTGACTTGCCTGCTGTCGTTTGGCAGGAACTCCCCCAGGGCTCTGAAAAAGAGGAGACCCGCTGTGAGCTGTGGTCGGGGTAGGGGGTGGGGTGAGGGGAGGCACGCGAGCGAGGAAGAGGTGGAGACAGGCAAACCCAGCGCTTCACCTCCCAGGGGACTACTGTTTCTATTTGTAACCAGCTCAGTTCCGGAGGTGGCTGGGGAAACCAAGACTGTCCAGAAAACAGCCCCTCAACCCCGGCCAAGAAGGCTAATGAGGGAGGTCACATCTCAGAGAAGAACCAGGCTAGTGCCTGGCCAACGGAAGAAAATGGGCTTGGCCTCTAAAACCTTTCCTTACCCGCTTGCTGTAGAGACCCCCTGCTCCCCAAGACTGGGGCCCCTCTCTCTTGCCTCGCCATGGCCCCCAAAGGAGCTCACCCCCAGCTGCTGGCCTTAGGGTCTGTGGGGAAGTGCCGAAGATTCAGGAATTCTAGAAACTCCTTGGGGACATCCTGGTTCAGGTACACGACGCCCTGGAGAGATCAGAGGGAACCTGTAATCAGACCCAGCTGGGTAACCTACAGTGCAAAATGGAAATGTGAGGCCCTCCCAAAAGGATTAAGAATTTCAAGAGAGAGCACTGAACCAAGCCTGGCGCCTTCTGAGCACTGGGCCCTGAATGACTGCGTGGGTTGTAAGCCCAGGACGCCAACCTGCTCTGTAATCGGGCAGCGCTGCGTGGGGAAGGGGGGGAGGATCCCCACCTAAGTCCTCATCACTGAGGGTAGCACAGGCTCCCACCCTTGAGGAATGAGAACCGCCTACCTCCGTGTTCCCTCCTCCCATCCTACATACACAGAGTTGGCCTCTGAACCCATTACTGTTCAGAAAGTTGAGGCTTGGGGTAGTAAAGAGCATGTTCAAAATGTGGGTCCCCTTCACTCCCTGCCCCCGCACCCCTCTGCCTGGCGCACACCGCTGGTCCAGCAGGCTGGGCGGCAACACACTGAGCCCCACACACACCTGGATATAGGCCTCCAGGCCCTGGCGCCGCTGCTCCAATCCTCTGGCCCTCCAGTTAGGCAGGCGTTTTGAGGGGAAGTCGGGCACCTTGTACAGTTTCTTGATCTGCCGGGAGGTTGCGGCGGTGCCGTCACAGCCTCCTCACAGAGCCCTCAAGCTCACTGCACCCTAACCAAGAGTCTCTCCCAGCCCCCCCCCCCGCAGGCTCTACCCTGGGGCGGACCCTAGTGAGTGAGGGTTGGGACCCGCGAAGGAGACCGCAGCCCCCACTTCCACCCCCAGGCGCCCGAGGGCCGGCGGGCCACGCGCTGGCATCGACAGTACCGGCTGGCCCTGCTCCTCTGCGTCCCCCCTGCAGCCCGCAGGGAGGTCTGTGCCCAGGACCGGAGCCCTCCAGGGGCTGCGGCGGCAACGGATGAGGCTGGGCCCACAGTCTGTCGGTCTCCCGGGGGCCGGGCGGGGGCCGGGCGGTCGGTCGGCGGCGCAGCCTCACCCGCTTGTGCAGCGCGTGGAACTCGCTGTAGCGCCTCTGCACGGTGTGCCTGCGCCCGCGGCACAGCACCTCCACCCGGAACACCTGGCGGGCGCGGGCGGGCGGCCAGGTGCGCGTGAGGCCCCGCGGGAGGCCAACCTCCGCGCACCCTCCCACGCTCCCCACACGCTCGGGGACCCCGCGAGGACGGACCCGCCCCTCTGCTCCAGTCCCTCGTGAGCCCGGACGGCCGTCCACGGAGCCGGCAATCCCGGCGGGCGGTCTCAGGGCTGCCTGACCCGCCGCGCCCCAGGCCCCAGCCCGGGAGCGGGATCCCCTCTGCGCCTGGCGGGGGCAGTCCCGCGGGTCCCGCACCCCTTCCCATCCGGTGTCCCCGCTCACCATGTGGCCTTTCTCTGGGCTCGGCCTGGGATCCTCGGCCTCGGGTCCCACCGACGGGATGTGAACCTCCAGCATCCGCACCCCGGCTCCAGCCCCCAAGCCCTCCGAGCGCGAGGCTCCCAGCAGGACCTCTCCCAGCGGGGACCGCAGACCCCGGCGGGCCCGCAGCCCCGCCCCCGCGGCCCCGCCCCCAGCCGGCCCGGCCCCGGTGGCCCCGCCCCCCGGCGGCCCCGCCCCCAGCCGGCCGGGTCCCGGGCGTGCCCTCGCGCCGCCGGGTCCTGCGGGGGGCAGATTAGGCGGCGCGCGGGGGGCGGGGTAGAGCTGCGCCCCTTGAGCCTCGTGGGCCGCCGGGGGACCCTTGGGCTGACCGCCATCCGTTTGTCGACATTTACTGAGAACGCAGATGAGCCCAAATCTCATCTACTCTGTTGAGCTCCCAGGGAGGACTAGGGTCTGTGGGCGCTGGGCAGGAAGGCGGGGGCCAGACCTCAGCGCCCACCCTGGGGACCACCAAGGATGTTCTTTGCGTTCCGCACACCCTTCCCGGGAACCAGGCTGCCCCCATCCGCTTCCCTCCACCTTTCGCCTGGACCCTGGGAGCGCGGCCACGCCTGGGGAGGGCGTGGCCATCTGGCTCTGAGGCCGCCTCGCCCAGCATCCACAAGCCCCTTCATTTCATTTTTTTTTTTTCCATCCCTTCATTTACTTTCCAGCTCCAACCTGCTTCAGGTCCAGTTTGGCGGGAAGAAGCAGTTTAGGGACCTGGGCTCTGCGTTGGGGGTCAGATAGCTTGGATTTCCTGAACCATGTAGACCTGTTCGCACCTGCAAAGTTGGGATAACAGGTTCCCTCAGGAGAGCGTCTGAAAATTGAGATGATCCCTGGTGAGCCCTCCGCAGAGCAGGTGTTAGAAGATGGCAGCTTGTGGGCTTGTCCTGGAGCCAGAGGTGGGCGGGGGCCGCGTACAGGGCAAGAGAAGGGGGAAGAGAGACTGTGGGAGATGGCACCGCGCTGTTCTTGCCCACCCCTCGGGGCAGGGCCTTTCTGGGTATGGGGGCAGGGTTTCATCCAGAACCCTCTCGCCCCTCTGCTCTCCCAGTGAGCCCCTGCACTTCAGCCGTAGGGAGCTGTCCCATCCAGCAGAGCACCTGTCTTAGGGGTAGCAGCTGCTGATTGGAGGACCACTGACTCACTTCCTCCCCTGCTAGTGCAGAGGTGCTTCTGAACTGGAGCAGAAACTCTCCCCACCCCTCCATCCCCTACCCCACTCTGCTCCCAGAGAGAAGCTGAGAAGATGACCCCAAAGAGGGCAAGCAGGTCTCACCAATACTATGTCCCACACTTTCTTCCCCCAAAATCCATCTCACAAGAGCCCCAGAATCAGGAAGCTGAAATTTCCCACAAGGGAAACGACCCACTATGAACAGAAGTGCTGGGGTTTCATTTCTTCCCTTGCACTTTAAAGCCCCGTTGCTCAGAAACCCTGTTCTCCTTGTCTACTGACCACGTAGTCCTCTCCCAGGACCCTCAGGCCTCCAAACTTCTTGGTCATCTACCCTAAGGACTCTCCTCTGTCCCTGTTCCTACCACCCAGAAAACTGCTACATCTCTGAATGGATCTTGTCTTTCCTTGCCTCTCTCTCTCATACAAGGTCCATTCTCTAACTATAGCACAAACCACCATAAAGGCATTGCTTTAAGACTTCAGAAGGCTTCCCGTTGCCCTGAGAACAAAACCCACTCTCCCTACCACAATCTGAAGAGCTCTAAGTGACCCAGCCTGGCTACCACCTCTCATCTCATTTCCTCTCCTTCCCCTTCCTTCTGTACCAGGCTCCAGCCACAGTGACCTTCTAGTTCTTCAAACCCCACAAGCATTCTCCTGCCTCAGGGCCTTTGTGCTTGCTGTTTTCTCTTTCTGGAACACTTTTCCCTCTTTACCCGGTGGGCTTAGCCTAAAATTTCCAATTTGTAGCCTAAAACCTCCTCAAAAATGGGACGCCTGGGTGCCTCAGTAGTTGAGTATCTGCCTTCGACTCAGGTTGTGATCTCAGGGTCCTGGGATAGAGTCCTGCATCGGGCTCCCTGCAGGGAGCCTGCTTCTCCCTCTGCCTGTGTCTCTGCCTCTCTCTCTGTCTTTCATGAATAAATAAATAAAATCTTTAGGGGAAAAAAAATTAAAAACCCTCCTCAAAGAGATCTTCCTTCCTGACCACTTACCCTATCATATCACCCTGTCTTCCAATACATAGTTACTGTTTATTGTGTGTCTCCCTGTTTTTTCCAACTTTGCCCTCAACTCTCACAGTGCCATCAGGCCAGGGATCTGGTCTTGTCAGAGGTTGCTGCCATGGTGCCAAGAATGTAAGAGACACTCAAAAAACATTTGTTGGTTGAAAGCCTCTGTGACTGGATGGAGGAGGGGATGTTGGGAAAGGGCTGGGGAACAGAGTGAAGCCCTGAGAGAGAGGCAGGAGAGAGGAGTTAGAGGAAGGCCTGTGGGGGTAAGGGGATAAAGGGGATCCTCTGCCCACCTTCAGAGTTAGACATCTTTCTCTCCCTCTCTGCAGATCGTTGTCCATCTTATCTGCTTAACTTTCAGGTGTTTCTGAGAAGCCTCAAATCAATGGATTTTCATCACAGTTACACAGGGAGATTTGATGCACCTGGCTTGTGAAACATCTGGTAGTAAACCGGCAGCTCCTGATTCCACAGTGTTCCATGGTATATGAGGGAAGATCCAAATGAAGAAAAACAAGATCCTTGACCTGGAGACATTTTTGGATGTCTTTGGGGAAGATAAAGCAAGTTCTGGAGAACATTTTCCTGTAAAGAGGAATACAGGATAGCACTTATGATAGTCAAAGGAAAATCTTATTTTCTGTTTCCCTTAAGCACTGGCCAGCCCAGTATATAAACCCAGAGCTAAGTTCCACACACTATATGATGTCTGTGTAGACCATCAAAGTGACTTCTGGTTTTAGAATGAGTCTTCCTATACAAGCCTTTTCTCCAGCACTCTCTAACACACGAGTTTCATTTCCAAGTTTCTGAGTGAAGGGAGCTTAAAAGCACTGGTTGGTCACACTGCCTGGGCCGGAGTATTTCCAGATCAGATTGTAGAGCGGTGGTTCTCCGGCCTCCACAGGCATCAGCATCACCCAAGAGACCTGCTGAATTGCAAATAGGGCTCTGACCCCAGTTTTCTGAGGGTGAGGGTGGTTTTAATAACTTCCCCTGGTGCTGCCGCTGCTGCTCCTGGTTGGGGGCCAGTCTGGCCCCTGGAGATGAGGGTCACCGTCAAGCAATGGGCAGCGAGGGCGTGGAGTGGGGGTGTCCCCTCCCCGGCCCAGCTGGGCCCTGGCTCCCCGCAGCCCTTGGTGACTGGCACACAGAGCCCGTCACCGGGCCGCTGCTGCCCTCGAGGTGGCAAATCCCTCTAAGAAAACCAACAGCTCCTGGGCTGTGGGGCTGGCCTGGCACAGAGGCTGGAATCTTCCTGTCCCTGGAGCACCTGGTCGCAACAAGGCGTGGGGGAGGCGGGCGAGCCCCAGGGGACCCGGCCACCCGGCCACCTGGAGGCCCTGGTCACTGGACAGGCTCAGACAGCTCCCCGCGCTCGGGGTCCTTATCTACACAGCGGAGCGGTGAGTGTGGATTGAGAGACCTCATGCTTGCAAAGTGTTCAGCGGGGGCCTGCCACACAGTAAATAAATGTTAGCTCTTATTATTTGGTGAATTATACGAATTTGCTGTTTTTGTAGGTCAAAATGGTAGGACATTGGCAATTACGTATGGTTCATCCTAACACATTGTTGATTCAATTTTGAAACAACACAAGCTTTATCCTTCCCCTCTCGGATTCCTGAGATTGCAAGGTTAGCTTTAGAAATGAACTATTTCAACCACTAACTTGGTGACCAGAATTTTCCTTTGTCAATACTATGCAACCAAAAAATGGTAATATGACTGGGAGCAGCGTTTGGTGTAAACCAGCAACTACCCTGTTCATTCTAACAACCTCTGAGTTATGACTGAGTGCCTCTCTAATAGGTACAGCTTATGAATTTTGATTAATAAAACACCCCCTCCCCCCCAAAAACACCATCCCTTTAGGTCTTGAAGATTGGACTTTAGTATAGACGGCTAAAAAAAAAAATAGTAGTGTTGCTAAAACATCTTAAATTATTGAAGAGTCTACAGTCTTCATTTTACAGATGAGGAAACGGAGGTGCGCAGAAGGGGAAGCGAGCCCTGGAGCTGGTTGGGTTAGGAGAGCACCTTTGCTGTGTGTGTCCTGCCACACCCCCCAGAACAAACTTTGCCTCCCGGTAGGCCTGCTTCTCAGGGGACCTGCAGGCTCTAGCACTGGGGCTCCAGCCAGCAGTGCCACTACTAGGAATCCCCGTCGCCCCTGCCCAGGTGACAAGGACAGCTTGGTGGCTTCAGACGTGACTCATGGCTGGAGTGGAGGGAGTTAGCAGAGGCTTAGCACAGCTTCCCAGGGAGATTTTTTTCTGGTGCCACAACTCCCAACACCCCTTACTTAGAAAGATTATGTCAGTGGACCAAACAATCAGCCCCTCTGGGGTTGCTCAGCACCAGGGTTCAGGGAAAGGAGATGTGCTCAGGAGCCCTCAGATCACAGCAATTTGTCATGAGGAGTTGTGAGTCCAAGAACTGAGGCCGAGAGGAAAGCCAGGCCCCAGACCCTGATGTCTGGAATGGAGGTGCTCCCGCCCCCCACCCCCTGAAGTTCTGAGCGTGGCCTGTGGTCTCTCAACAAGTGGAGGTTTTAGTCTCTGCCACCAATGGTTCCCCAGTACTCACCCAAGCTTTTTTCCTGTCTTCCAGCTTCTGCTCCTGCCCCCCAACTGGGCCACACACGGTGCTTGTCTGGGGACAGAGTATCTCACAGAGGTCAGAGCAGCTCATGTGCCTCTAAGCTCAGGTGGGTAACATGTCCTCAACAGGTCTACCAGGGGCTTTATTCAGGTCTTTTTTTTTTTTTGTTGTTATTATTCAGGTCTTTAGTAACAACTTCGTGGGTTAATATCTAGGTTCCTCTTGTCCATCCCTGT